TCAGTTTGCAGCTCTGTGGGCCTCCTGTCAGAGTGTATACACACAGAAGATTAGATTTATTCCACTGATTTAGTTCTGGATCCTCAGAGATCTGTTGCTTAAGTGGCAGTGTAAAGCCCCAGGATGTGTGCCAGGAGTAGGAATGTACATGCATGTCATCAAATAGCTCTGAGCTTGATAACAGCTCAGAGAGGGGAATTTGCTTTGTTTTATTCTGTTTTCCAAGCAGTAGTCCAGTTTGCTTTTGTGTCAGATCCCAAGCAGTGAAATTCAGATGCAGCCTCAACTCCTCAAATACATGTATTTCAACATCCTAAGAAGACAAATTCAACTTAGGATATGAGAACTTCCTACACAGGCTGTTTCATTTGACAGATGGTACCATCTTCCTACCCCTGCTTGGGGGCATACAGTACTGCACTGTAAGACTGATATGTATGCGTGTATAATGCATATTTAACACTTAATCTGCTCAAGTGCTCCAGGAAAACTGTGACTGTGCACTCTAGCAGATAGGAAAATGATTGTCTTCAATTTCATTTTCCTTTAGTCATATTCTGCAAACAAAAGAAATATGTTTGTCCACTTTTAGAAGTCAGAGGAGCTAAATAGCAGCACCGTGGTGGAGAGGGGCCTCGGTGGTTCAGCCTGCTGCTGAGCAAGCTCTTTGCTTCATCTGGGGTGGGAGTGCCTGTCAGCCGTTGATACCGATCACGAGGGAGGCCGAGGGAGCCAGAACGGCGTAAGAGCTGTACTTAGGAAGTTCTTCAGGAAGCAGCCCAGCTTTGTGCTCACACAAGGGGGCATTGAGGGGGATAAAAACCCAAATCAAAGCAAGAGCATCCAAACTAATACGTTGTTCATCACCTTTCTGAAAATGCTACCAAATTCTCACTTTCCAGCTTTTACTCACCGTCAGGGTTATGTTTCTGGGTGTTTTCCCACCAGTGGCAGTAGCAGGAACTGCTGTCTGTCTTCTGTGACATTGGCATGCCTTAGGTTATCAGACCCGTTTCTTCCCCAAAACGAAGAAAACTAATGAGCAGCAGAACTGACTCCTGGAACATTGTGGTAAAAATCAATCTCTGCAGATCTCTTCAGAGGCTGGAAGAGGGTGGGTTAAGCTACACAAGGAGCTTCCCTGTGCTTGTCTTGCCTCGCCTCAGCCTCGCTGGGCAGAGGTGGAAAGAGAAGTGTTGCACTTCTGAGGAACTTGGCTTCAGGTTTCCAGTGGTGGTGGTGAGTGATTTTAGGACATCACTTGCTGCTGCCTTGGCAGCAGAGGAGAGAATGCATTTGCTCTTCAGCTGCTGCAGTTCATTTTATGATGGTGTCCGAGGCTGCTGAGGATGAAGAGGGTTATTTCTATTTTTGCTGCTTCAGTGCAGGGCAAGAAGCCTTTGTCAAAAGGAGGGGACAGCTATTGAGAGTAGTGTCATATACTAGAGATGAGGACTGAGATCGGAGACTTGTGGTCACTGGTGCTGGTACCTGTGAGTGTATTTTGTGGAGTAATCAGCACAACTCTTGGGAGAAAAGCTTTTAGCTCCTTTTTTGTGAGTGTAATGGGTTGCAGTGTGATGCAAGTAATTCATGTGATGGGAATTAATCTGCCTGAAGTCCATAGTTAAGTATTGTTTGCAGCTTTAGAGCTTGTCTCTGTGGTTCCTTCTATTACTTTCTAGCTCTTGTAATTAAATGTAGCACGATTAGTGATTGTGGGGGAGTTGCCGATGTGCTTGAACACATTGTTATTACTGGTATTATCTTCACTGGCAAAGATGAAAGTGAAACCCTTTCCCCTCATCCCTGTTATTCCCATCTTCCATACATTACGTTTGTTGCTTCTGTCATCTTTCTTCACAATTTAGCATACGAGATTGCTCGAAGTTAGGTTAACCATTTTAGTAAACATTTTTCAACCAAGCTAAAGAAAACCCCAAACACCCCACTCTTCTGTTGTCTGATTCTGTCAGAGAAGCATGAACCTGACATCTGCTTTGCCAGTATACAGATTCCTGTCAGGCTCTGGAAAAAAGGAAAACTCCCCATTTCTTTCCAATTCCCTGTGCAAGCCGTGATTCAGCAAGGCAGCCACGAGGATGATGGTGCAAGAGAGATTATGCCTATCTGCTGTTAAATGAACTGTCTTCTTTTTCTCTTTGGGGGAGTGAGAGAGCAGAAAAGGAGCTTCAGGGTGTATTTGCACTCCTCTTTTTCCTTTTCTTTAATCTCTTCTCCAGTCATTGGCCATAATGCCAAACCTCCACAGCAATTTCAAAAGTACTTCCTGATGCTGTGGAAACTTTCCCTGCATAATGAAGACAGGGTAAGGATAAAGGAGAGGGAACTGCTCTTTTCTTCTCTGCTTAGCTGTCTGAAAGAGACTAGCTGTTTGGATTTGACCCAGAACAAAATGATTGATTTATTTTTTCTTTTTTAATTTCTGATGATGTCTGAAGGATTGGGCTTTTATTTCTTGAAGTGATTTGTTGTGACTGAAGCTGCCGTATTGTATTTAAATTATGAGTTCAAAGCTGCTGTGCATTGAAATGCTCCTTTGTGCAAAATAGTTTTAGATCTAGCACTCTATTTTAACAGCAGTCTTTGAAACAGCTGCTCAGAAACTATAGTACCTTGTGTTAGTAAATAAATCACATCTCAAGTTTTTCCTAAAAGCTGAGGTTTTACTAAACTGCAGATTTAATGGTTTTGAAGGATTTTGTTGGACTGCAGTTGATGGAGCCTGTCCCTTGGTGGGAAGCTGGTGCCCGAGCTCTTTCTGCCACTCCAGTCTCCTCTAACAGCCCTGCAGCTTGACTTCCTCCTGGAGGGCTCCTGGGCTCTTCAAGGAATTGTTATGGGCTTGGAGGGCCAAGTCTGTTCTTGTCTGGTTTCAGATGCAGGTTAGTTGTTTATCCTTATATCCTGCTCCTGCTAACACCAGGCAGCACAAAAATATGGAGGAAATAGTAGGGCTTGTTTTAGAAAGATACAGAAGGCTACTCATGATGTCGCTTTCTTCACATAGTATAACAATCTGGTGTTAAAGTTATGTGATATGCTTATTTACCTACTATGATTTATTTACCCATCTGATTTAATGTCTTTGTTCAAAAGGAGAAGTGCTTTCTTTTAAATGTGTGTTCCCGTTTGGATAGGTAAGTAGCTTATATCCTACTCTTTTCGGAGATTAGCATAGGACAAACTTTAATAGGACTCTTGAATACCATATATCTCATTTGGTGGTTCAGATCAGAAATTTGTATGTCTCAAATAGGTTGCATGCATTTTGTGCAAACAATATGCATTGTTATGGAAGCATTTGGAGTTAAAATCCCTGTGCTGAGACCTGCTGTTAGACTGCAGGGTTCTTAATTTTTTTCCCATGTTGCAGTGTAGGTACTGGAAAATACCGAAGATGCTGTAGATAATTTGCAACATCTGAAAGAACAATCAGTGAGTGAATTGGGAATACTGTTGGAGGATGGGAATCACAGTCTGATTCACAACAGCATCACTGCAGATAGGCTTGAATGTTGCAGGTCTATTTATCACTCCATCATCAGACAAAGGGCTTGAAGGCAAGTTTGTCCAGGTGGGTGTTGCACAGCTTTGACTGCTGTTCCCCATAGGTCTTTAAGTAGATGGAGAACCCAGCACATGTTCAGTTTTTACCTGCAACTGCCAGAACTTTACTTTGTGCTGCTTGTGCCTCTGTTGGTATCGTGCAGAAATTATGTTTTCATGGGTGTTTATGGTGATAATTTTAATCTTTCTTGAGCTTCATGACATAAACCTTTTGTTTTGTGTCACATCGGGCTCCCAACACAAGAGGAGGGGCGTGGAGCTGTTGGAGTGAGTCCAGAGGTGGCCACGGAGATGCTCTGAGGGCTGGAGCAGCTCTGCTCTGGAGCCAGGCTGAGAGAGCTGGGCTGCTTCAGCCTGGAGAAGAGCAGGCTCCAGGGAGACCTTAGAGCAGCTGCTAGTGCCTAAAGAGGCGAAATCTGGAGAGGGGATTTGGACAAGGGCCTGTAGTGATAGGATAAGGGAGAATGGCTTTAAACTGACAGAGGGGAGACTGAGATTAAATATTAGAGAAAAATTGTTTTCTGTGAGGGTGCTGAGGCACTGGCACAGGGTGCCCAGAGAAGCTGTGTCTGCCCCATCCCTGGCAGTGTTCAAGGCCAGGTTGGACACAGGAGCTTGGAGCAACCTGGTCTAGTGGAAGGTGTCCCTGCCCATGGCAGGGGGTTGGAACTGGATGAGCTTTAAGTCCCTTCCAATCCTAACTGTCCTGTGATTCTATGATTCTCTGTTTTTGTTAAGGAAAAATGATTGTGGTGATAATATATATTCTCATTACAAATGGAGAAAGTGTAGCACAAAGTAGCGAAGCAGTGCAGGTCCTCATTCACAAGTGACGTGTACCCAGTGGATCCAAGTCGCATGCTCTTTAATGTAGGCTACATAATTTGGTAGAGATATTCTTAATATGACTAGATGTGGGCAGTGTGCTGACATAGCACATTTATAAACATAATCTATTCTTTTCTCTTCAAGATCTTGTCTGATAAATGACATGAAGGAAATAATCTGAGGCTTTTAAAGATGTTGGAGCATGAAGCCCTTTGGGGTAAAGCTACCGCCAAAAGCTGTTGTACTTAGGCCCTTATGTGTACTATCCTTCGTGTGAACAGATACAACTGACTTTTCTTTTTGACTGGATTAGTTTTATCATTGGAAAAGTTTGTTGGCCCATCCCACAAATGCTGCTACTGGCACAGATGAATGGGTGTGGAAGTGAAGAAGAGATCCGCTTCCTTTGGCAGAGACATCAGTGTCTGCCAGTGCAGTGCTTACTAGGTTCCTCAGAGTTGAATTGTACCTCCTTTCCCTGTTGCCCAACAGAAGAAATGGTACATTTATGTATTCTATGCTCTCTTCTTAAGTTAAAACAAATATTTCTCTTTCAGTGCTTTCACTAGCTATTGAGAACCATGTCTGTCAACGGCGAAGTGGAAGACAAGCCACCAGCTCCTCCTGTCCGGATGAGCAGTGCTATCGTCACTGCAGGGGGTAAAGACCAGTTGTCTGCCAACCACAGTTTGAAACCCCTGCCCTCTGTACCAGAAGAGAGAAAACCTAGGAATAAAATCATCTCCATATTCTTTATCACTGAAAAAGGTAAGATTCCATATTTTCCAAGGATACTAGTCGTATTACTTTACTCTTCTAAGTTTTGGTGGTGCTTCAGACATTTGAATCCAGCCTGTCCAAGTGCAGGGGGTTGGAGGAAGGGTTGAAAGTTGGATGTGTGTGTTCAATGAGCTGAGGTGTTTTTTTCTGCTTGCACTGGGATGTTTGAAGATGAAATGCTAAGTAAGAAAAATTAAATGATTCACTGAGGAAAACCACCACCTATTGCTTCCCATGCTTGCTGCCCAGTTTAAAGTAATGCATTTCCAAACAACCCTGATAAATGTTTGTGATTCTTGGGTGTCAGATCACTTACCATTTTGCTACACTAAATACAAATTTTAAGTTTAAACTATTTGGGAAGTTCCTTCATGTTGATGACCATTTATGTGGTACCTTGAGGAGAAAAAAAGGTAATAAAGAAATAGTGGCAAAGTTGCACTGTGTTTGAAGGAGAATTGAGAAATGAAGTCCTTCTGTCTCTGTCACTGTACTGTTAGGATTAATTACTAATGGGGAAAAATCTGGAATGCTGTAAGCAAGGATTATTTCTGAGAAAAAATGGCTGTAATGAAACTAGACTGTATTTGGGCCTTGTTTCTGTCCTCTTTTCTGTATGAAGAATGTATATGTAGCACTAGAGCCCTGATCCTGGTTCTTCAGGATGTCTGTATCCATGTAGAACAAAATAGTGAATAGATAGAAATATCTTCTAACATTTGGTACAGTAAAACTGTTGCAGGGTTGTACAAGCCTCATGTTGCTGATGTGCTGGGCAGGACTGGCTCAGTCATGCTGGCACAGGTTTGACTGTTTCAACAGACTGTGCTTCTCTGGTTATGTATTCTCTTGGCTCAGTATTTTCCTTAGGGCTGGAATTTACTCTTGCTCAGCTGTATGAGCAGTCCCTCTGCAGCCATGCCTCACCCTGGAGGCAAATGCTGGAGGCTTCCTTGTATTTGGAAGATCAGGCTTTCCATGATCTGGCAGAGTTTCTGCTTTTGACAGCGGGTGTGCTTTCGTTTTTGGAGGATGGAAGGATTTGGCCATTGTAGCTTTTGGAAGCAGAATAGTTATTTCACAAGGTCACTTACTGTGAAATAACTGTTGGTGGCTGGATTACAGCAATAGAAGTAGTGGTGTTTACTGATACGGGTAAAACCTTAAAGAGGTAAATCTGTAAGGAGAACATGAGAAGCTACTATATGTTGGTGGCAGCACCCTGAGAGAGAGACTCCAGGCCTCTGAGGCTGGTGAAGGTGATGAATCTGAGTGGTGTCAGCTTGGTGTAGTGCCACGTGTCTGGACCAGGTTCTAACTTAGCCCTTTCAATACCGCAGAAACTGGTGTTTTATCATTATGTCACTGATGATGGGAGGAAATGCCTTGAAGTTGTCACAGTGAGTGCTGCAAGAAAATCTTGTGGAAGGATCACATCTGCCATCTTCAGGCTAGGAGAGCAGCTTATGCGCTGATCTGACACTTGTCATTTGGCTGTTGGATTGATTATTCATCAGAACATTTGTAACCACCTTTTTATGGATGGGGATATAATGAAGTGGACCATAAACCCCACGTAGAAGAAGGTTTTCCTTGCTCTGACTTAGTAATACTATGTAAGACTTGCTTGTGTTGTGAAACGAACTATGAATGCAAGTGGTTACTGCGCAGCTGGAGAGCTCTGTGACATTTCACAGCATCTTTACTTCTCCTTGGATGTTTCCTCTTTCCATCTTGAGGGTGGATTGATTCATTGCCGAAATGGCTGGGGAGGTGGTTGAAGACTTGTCTAAAGTTGCATTGGCTCATCTGAAATTGCTTTGGAGTTCCATTACTAAAGCTTATGCAGTCTAAATGCTGACATGTACCAAAGTTATGGAAGTTAATCTGCATACTTGTTTAGCAGGTGTCTGTGTACCTACTGATATTTACTGATGCAAACTTAAAATGGAAGGAATAATTTCTGTAGAGTAAAATACTTTTTAGAGAAAATGGTGTCAGTTTATGTTTTCTAAATGTTAAAAAGTATTTAAAGTAATGTCCTTCTGAAAAAAGCAGGTTTTAGTGCATGGAAAGGAAATGTGGTTAGGAAAAATGGTAATTGAATTACCTATCTTAAAGAAACTATCTGAAAGTGGTATTTTTTTTTAACCTGGAATAAACCTTGTGGATTGGGTGACCTGCTGCAAGGATAATGTAAGCATTTAGAGAAATGGTTTTGTCTCTCAAGACTGCAAAACTGGTGGCCAAATGCAGGCAGAATAGAAATGGGCACAGCGATTTTTCTGGCAGTAGAACAATAGTCAGAAGTTAGTTGTTCTGTTCATTAGCATGGCTGAGCACCCTCACCAGAAATGCCAATTTAAATACATTCGAAAAAACCAAATCTGTTGCTGGGAAGCTTTAGAATTTATGATTCTATGATTCTTTAATAGAAATACTTTTTAAAAATATATTGGAACTATATGCAAAATAATCTGTCAACCTGAAATAGAAAATTTCTCATGGGAAAAATCTCTCCAGCCAGTGTAAATGTTAACTAATTCCCACCAAAATGGTAAATTCTCCTTTTCAGAATCTGAAGGGATGCTTTACCAGGAGATGTGCAAGGCTACCACAAACAGACCTACCTGTTGCTGGATAACTAGCTTTGTTCTGTAGATCTGTCTGTACGATTTTGCAAGGTCCCTCCTGGCCAGCTCTGTACCCCTCTGACCTCCTATGTCCTCTCTTGGCAGATTTTTCTAGTTTAGGCGATGGCATTGGGGAGGTAGCGTACTTTGGGGGATGACGCACTGCAGATGGCACTGCAGATGGTGAGGTTGAGCAAATGCACAGTCTCTGCCCCAAGTCTGAGTTAGTTCTGTGCTGACGTGAGTCCAGAGGAGGCCATGAAGGTGCTGCGAGGGCCTGCAGCAGCTCTGCTCTGGAGACAGACTGAGAGAACTGGGCTGGGTCAGCCTGGGGAAGAGAAGGCTCCTGAAGGGGGGACCTTAGAGCAGCTCCAGTGCCTGAAGGATCCTACAGGAAATCTGGAGAGGGGCTTTTGTCAAGGGCCTGTAGTGACAGGACAAGTGGGAACAGCTTTAAACTGACAGAGGGGAGATTCAGGTTTGACATTACGCAGAAGTTCTTCCCTGTGGGGGGGCGCTGAGGCCCTGGCACAGGTTGCCCAGAGAAGCTGTGGCTGCCCCATCCCTGGCAGTGTTCAAGGCCAGGTTGGACACAGGGACTTGGAGCAACCTGCGCTAGTGGAAGGTGTCCCTGCCCGTGACAGGGGGTTGATACTGGATGAGCTTTAAGGTCCCTTCAAACCAAACCAGTCTGTGATTCTTTGAAATAGTCATAAGAGTTTGAAGGGATTTTCCTCCTAGTTCCACTGCTTAGGGTAAATGAAGTGATAGTCATCTTCTACTAGAGTACTTAATTGCCATGAATTTGGCAGTCAAATGAACTTGTTTGTGTTTGAAAAGCTTTAAAATAGTCCCCTAAAACAAGAAATGTTTGTCTTCAAGCAGAACTTATTAAAGGAGGTGCTGTGGGGCATCACCCAGGACCAGGGATCATGTATGGGACATGCTCTGCCCTACTGGCTCAGGGCAGATTTTGTTGTGGTTTCAGCTGCAGCTCAGTAACTCAAAGTGTGCCATCTGGAGTCATCTAACTACTACAACCAGTCTGTTGAGAAACATCTGTGTTTAGTGCTTTGTGTATGGAGGGTGGCTGGTGGGAAGTGAGGTATGCTTGAGGACTGGTTTGTGATGTAGGAGGGTGTGTGAAGTACCTTGGGCGATGCCATGCAGAGTATCTGTGGCTTCACTTGGGGAAGAGTCCAGTTTGAGGTACTTCATCAGAGCAATTCTCTAATTTGCTGAATCCTTCTGAAGGACCTGTGTCTTCCCCCTCCCAGGAACAGCGGGACTTCATGCTGCTGTCTCTGCATGGCTGAGGGACCACATCTTAGATTCACTTGCCATTTGAAGCTAGTGTTGCCCTTTAATAACAGGATTCCCATTTAAATACAAAACTGTGTTGCAGATATAATCAGAGGTTGAAAAGCAGTGTGGCCTCACGGTGGCCTTGTTCACAGAGCCTTGAGTGTGTTCTGCCAAGTCATGACTCAAGGGACTTGCCTTTTGATTGAAGCTCACTGCTTATGCGCATTTGAAGTGTTGCTCTGCTGTTCCTGTGGGCAGAGGGGTGAATTTTAGTCTCCTTGCCTAGATACTAATAAGATCTGTGTGTTTTTGGAAGGAGTGGGCTTATTTGCACAGCACTTCTGAGGGTTTGAGCACCAGCTCCTGTTCCCTGCATGTCAAGTGCTCCTGAGCAGGAATCTTCTGAGGAATATCCCCCCCTCCTTGCTTTCACATAAACAAATGCAAAAGACTGGGAAGAAACAGTACTTTCCTTAAAGGTTTTCACATAAGCAAGTTTCTTCTGTCCTGTGGCTTAACAATGTTAATGGGAACATTTGACAGTCCATTTGCTTTTTGGCACTGACCTGTGCAGCCGCATTAAAGATATCCTGTTTATAACAGCAGCGTCTTTCCACTGCATTGTTCAGCTGGAGGTAGTCCACATGGCTTTTCATTTGTAAGTATTGTGTTCTGCTCCTGGTCCTTCCCCTCGCGCCAGCATGGGGGAATTTCAGACAGTTTCTCTGGCTCTGAGCAGCACGAACTATGCTTGCCCCATGTTGGGGGGCTGGACTAGATGAGACGTCACTTCCAACCCTAACAATTCTGTGATATTCAGGAACTCTTTACCATGTTGTAATAAAGAGGGTGCTGGTTTAGCTGCTCTTTCTGTACTGAAACCACATTACTTTCATTTTTAAGGTGAATTTAAAAACAAAGCAAAAAACCTTTTATTTTGCAATACAGCGTGCTGCTCTCCTTTTGGGAGCACTATGGCATTCCTGCTGGCTTCATGCACACTAGAATGAATGCAGCTGATTCAGCTATATGTTTTGCAAGCCCACAGGCATTCCCAGGATTACACATGCAGTTTTCCTGGTATCAGGTTAGTCATGCTGTAGAGCTCACTGCCAGGGCTCTGCCTTTCAGCAGAGGACTGCGAGATGAGGCCTTGAGTATCATCTTTCTACCTGGAGAGCAAACAGCAAGTATACTTCTCTGCTCTGGCAGAGAAAGAAAGCAGAGCTCAGGCTTTTTTGCTAGAACAGTAAAACTTATTCCTGAAATCTTCCAACTTAACTCCAAGTCCCTTTTGAGTAAAGGGAACAGAATGGTGTATTTTACGTTAGAGTTAACTACAAATTGTCTTTTATTTATTTTCTCTTTGTCAGGAAAAAAAATTATAATAAAGCCCCAGGTATTATAAAACATCATATTAATTTAATTGAATCTAGGTTGGATTGAGCACATGGTCCTTCTCATTATCTGTTCCTGCTTCTGGTACTATGCTTGGTCTCCCCTGCCTCCTTTAATTGAAATTAGGTAATTGCTCTGAGGCTATAAATTCTTATCTTCATCACAGGAAGTCCTAGTTTGCATTAATTACCTTGAATTGAAGCAGTGAGGCAACTGAGTTTTAACTGTCTTTAGGGTGAACTTGAGATTGAACTGAAGTTGTCTTCAGTGTTTTTAATCCATACTAACATGTTCTTTTTTGCATTTAAACATTTCATATGCTTAGATTCCGTATGCTTAACAGAGCTTCTTGCACTCTGGTGCTCTTAATCTCTTATTTCCTTGCTGCTGTAGTATAACTTACTTGAATGGAACAAGGTGTTGATTCTTATGTGAAGTCTTTACCCACTTGAAAACACCAACTGTGCTGCATCTATAAACACCTCCATCAATTAAACAGAATAACGGTTATATTTATCATAATTGTTGTAATACTTGGATTGATTATATTAAATTGAGAAAATAGGACTTTAAATCTTTGCTCAGTAGATCTTTGAATGTCTTCTTCAGGAAGCAAGAAGAAGGAAAAGGAAAGACCAGAAATCTCCCCACCCTCAGATTTTGAGCACACCATCCATGTTGGTTTTGATGCTGTTACTGGAGAGTTCACTGTAAGTATACCTGCTATGGAGTTGCTCAGAAAACAGCTGTGAGTCAGGACTGTAGTGAAGCCATTGTGATGTTTTAGAATAAAGTCTTCATTTTGATTAAGGAAATAGTTTTGCTGTGTATTTGTACAGCATGCAGAGTAAAGAGTCCGTGATCTGTTAGTACTTCTTCTGTGTAAATGTCATATCTGATGCTTTGGGTCACCTGAGAGTCTTCCCTGAGAAACCCTCTTCAGTTCACTTTCATTAGTGGGTAACACATGTTCTGTTGAGTGCTTTTGTGTTCATGTTCCTCGCATCTGGCTTCATACACCTAAAAGAGGTGGTATTGTGTTGGCATAGTGATTTGTGTTGTGTCACTTATGGACATACGGCTCCCCATTAAAACCCCATTCTGCTTGTTCAGGTGTTTAAAGCTGAATGTGTTACGCTTTATATAGAGGGAAAAAAATGGTTCTATTTAAAAAAAAATCTTTAAAATGCTGGAAGTATGCTTAAAATAGCCTTTTTTTTTTTTTTTTTTTTTTTTTTTTTTTTTTTTCTTCAGGGAATGCCAGAGCAATGGGCTCGGCTGCTTCAGACCTCAAATATCACAAAGCTAGAACAGAAGAAAAACCCCCAGGCGGTACTAGATGTGCTGAAATTCTATGACTCCAAAGACACAGCAAAACAGAAGTACCTGAGCTTTTCTGCTCCAGGTAAGATCCAAGTGTGTGCAAGACATATTAAAGAGGAGCAGAGTATTTGGAACACAGTCTTCCACTCTTTCAGAACCACAGAGAATAATAAATTGGATTCAAACACTGAAAGAGCAGACTTCTTTTCAATGAGTTACAAATACTTGAAGATGGATTTAAAACTTGCTGGAACTGGTGCTGTACAGTTAATTTCCTAGTTTAAATAGAGAGGGAAAGAAATGGAACTAGATAATGCAAAATAGCAGCCAAAATTAACTTGAATAGGCTGTGCTTATATAGCTGTAATCTCTGAGACTGAGATTAACTGATTACATGCTGGAGACCTTGCTCCTTCTGTCTGTGGCCAAAACAGCTATCTGTGAACTTGGTGTCACCATGTGGTGACATCAAAGAAGCAAAATAAGTTGTGGCTCTTAGGCCGGGAGCAATGGGGCATGTGAAGGCTGAGTGAATGACAGTCCTACAGTTGAACAGAGGCCGTTTTACCTAGTTTTCCTCCAAATTATTTCAGAAACTAGCTTAGTAATGAGGCTTTGTAATGTTCTTACCCTTGATTCAAGAGACTGCTAAGGGAACAGAAGCATCCCTTTGGTGGTGATTTCACATCTCAGTAAGACAGAACATGTAAGTGTGATAAGCAGTGTTTAATTTGAGAACTGTGTGTGCGTACTCACATGGGTGAAGAGCATTTTGGGAAATGAGTGGGTTTCCTCGCCCTTAGGGGGACAGTTTTAGAGACGTACAGCTTCTTTCTGCATTGTCTTACAGTGCAATACTGGATTCTGATTTGTGACCATAAAATTTTGCTTTTTGGGAGATGGAAAAAAAGTCTCCAAAGCAGTCTGTATTCTTTACTCTGCAAAGTTCACTTTTTAAATTACTGTTCTCCCACTGTTCTGATGATGTTATGTATTCTGCTATTTGTCCTATTCAGAAAAAGATGGTTTCCCTTCAGGATCACCAACGGTGAGTGTGTTTACTATTCCTTGTATATTCTTACACACCTACAAGTTCAGGTCTTCTGTATTTGCTACCTACTGAATCTTGCAGTATAAAATAAGAATTTTTTTTTGTGGAATAAAAATATAAATTGGGGGGGTCAACAGAGCATATTTCACTGGAGCAGTAGTATTTTGAGTCTCCTCATAAAATGATTTTCTTTTGACATTTGTAAGAATTCTTTTATCTTTATGTGGGGAGAAAAAGACCTGAAGTCTAAAGCACTGTGAGGGAGACAGTTTTGTTTAGTTTGTTTTGGTTGTTTTTTTGTTTTTGTTTTTGGTTTGTTTACTTTGGTGAAAATGTAGACCAATGCCAAAGGAGAACCATCAGCAGCTGTGGCAGATGATGATGAAGATGATGAAGAAGCTCCTCCTCCTGTTATTGCTCCACGGCCAGATCACACAAAATCGGTGAGCAGCTGTAAAGTTTACAGTGCAGACCTGCATTTCTCAATATTTTCTGTTTCTGTTTTCTAGCAAAGTGTTGCATTTGTGAAACAAGCTGTTGTAAGTTTTTTATTTGAGTTTGCTAAGGAAATGCCTTATTTCTGGATATCAGTTGGATCAGAAATCCTGACATTAATGCCAATTTGTTTGGCTTGTGTGGAAGCTCTACAATTATGTTTATCCTTTAATTCAACATGTGAAGAGGGGGCTTTTTTTTTACTCCTAAAAAACTATAGCTAGTTTCTGTAACTTTGCACACTACAGTGGTACAATGTAATGTACTTGATATTCTTTATTTGCTCCAGCTCATTCTTTTGACTGTGGTAGGAGTGGGCTGCTCTGCCCACATCTGCATCTTGCTCCAGGAGTGCAAATGTGAATTGTGTTTATTTGTCAAGTGATAGTGCTTTATAGTTGCCCACCTTGGTACATAGTTGTGTAAACTATGACAGATCTACTGTTTGATATTTCTCTAGTAGCTGCGTATCTGTGAACAGCTCAGGAGGAAGTGAAATAAAGATTCAAGAAAATCCCCTAAATTGGGGGCAACTGAGAAATTTCTGGGACTCTTATGCTTCTTTTCATGGCAAAGCATGAATCTGTTTCCTTTAGGTTTTAGTAGTAATTGATCTCACTATTAAATAGTGATTTCTGTTCTATTAACTAGCATGGATTATAAAGAATAAGGAGGTAAAAACACCACAAAACATCTATCTCCTTGCATCCACTCTGTTCAGGAGGTACCTGGGGCTTTCTGTCAGTAGTCAGTAAGGTTGTCAACATCTTGACTTACTGGACTTCAGTGTTTCTTCCTCCATCCTGTTATATAAAATGGTGCTTAGGGATCTTTGAATAACTGTGATTGTTTCCACCTGAAGGAAACTGAACTGTTTCATTCCAATGATTGCAAGGAAAATACTCAGGTAAATGGTCTCTCTTAACAGATTTATACACGGTCTGTAATTGACCCCATCCCTGCGCCAGCTGGCGACACTTCTGTTGACAGTGCGGCAAAATCAGGTGATAAGCAGAAAAAGAAGACCAAAATGTCGGATGAAGATATCATGGAAAAACTACGTAGGTGTTTTTTATTTCAGATAAACAAAGGCTTTAGGACTGGCGGAGAAATACCAAGTTTTTGCCCTCATCTTTATTTTTGTGTAAGGGTTACTGTACTTGATTGGGTTTGTGTCCATAGCTGCGTTCAGAAGTTTTGCCACTTTATATGCTTCAGAGCCCTGTTGGGTAAAAAAAACTTGTAGAACAGTTGTTTTGGATTGAAGTTCAGTTGTGATAACATGATCTGTGTGTATAATACAACCGTAATAACACAAAATAGTTTCTGTGGCTGCTGGTTCGGAATCATCTTGAAGATAATTTTTCACTATACTAATGTTCCTGTGCTTAAGTTGAGATTTGTCATTACCTCATACGGAGTTTTGCCACACAAAAGGTTATAATAAAATTGAGATATGAGGGGAAATGGTGTGACCTGTCTCACGAAGAGTATAACCTAGCAAGACGATTGCCTGAAGCTGGGCCATTTGCTGCTAGAAGTGAATCAGGAAGCTTTGGCTGTTCATGCATCAGCCTTTACTATTTGAGCTTGGCCTATCTTGGAAGTATCTTGGCCAGGTCAGACCTACTAAAGGGGGATAGTGGGATTGACTTTTTTTTGTCATTGTTGTTTGTTTGTGGTTGTTTTTTTAGGCACTATTGTGAGCATAGGAGATCCCAAGAAAAAATACAACAGATACGAGAAAATCGGACAGGGGTAAGTGTTCACCCCAACGTCTGTTCCCAGCGAGCCAGTGTTTAAAAGGGGTGTGCTGTTCCCTAACTGATAGTGTCATGTAGCCACCACTTGCTGAAGCAGGCAGATATGGCTGTATTAAGCCATGCTAAACAGGCAGTGAAGGCTTTACACAGTGATGGAAGCTTTGAATTGTGTCTCTTCATGCAAAAGCATAGCTTTGCATCTTCTCTGTGGGTGTATCTAGTGCTCTCCTCTCCCAGTAAGGTGCATTCATCCATTTTGTAATATGATTGCTGAATGGCCTGAGGGCATGTCAGGAAGCTTTCTGTTTGCCGAGCTAACAGTATTGCCTTGGCTAAGTTGTTATTCTAGTGGTCCTTTGAATCCTTCTGTAAAAAAAAAAAAAGTACATACAAATTCTAACTTTTCCAACTTTGATATGCCTAACTTGTACTGTATGCTTTCCAGATAGGTCTGTGTGTGTTTGTGGTCAGGTTTCCCCTGGGGAAAAGGAAAGTAATATCTGCTACAGAAAGGACTACCCAGCTTACCTGATCATAGGGAGCGGCACAAGTTCTGGAGAGTCTTGGGTGACATGGTCTAGCGTGAGATGTCTCTGCCCATGGCAGGAGGTTTGGAACTAGATGGTCTTAAGGTCGTTTCCAACCCTAACTATTCTATGATTATTGTTCTATGACTTTGTCTCCTGCATTCAACATGTCTTAGCTGGTGTCAGAAGAGAGCGTATTTGTAATCGTTTTGTTTTGTGTGACCTGACTGGCATTTGTATGATACCACTTACTTTTAATAGCCAACTTCTTGATACAGCTCTTGCAGCATCGAAAGCTGACACAATTTGTGTTTGTGATTTTTCTGTTCATGTGCATGTTTGTTACACTTGCTTTAATGTTGTTCTTCACAGGGCTTCGGGTACAGTTTTCACAGCCATTGATGTGGCAACAGGACAGGAGGTAAGATTTCTGCGTTCATTGCAATGAAATATAATGAATGTAAATGTTGTGGCTGAAATGATTTGATTAGGCTCCTTTCTGTGGTTCCCAGCTCTGCTATCACCTCTCAGAATATTGTCATAGTCATTTGTAATAGTGTGTGCCCTTTTCTATAGTGATCAGATGGTGAAGGCTAAAAGTAGTTTTCTTTCTTTCCAGTGAAAAGCAGAGGGAGTGAGGTGTTCCAAAAAAGGGTTTTGAAAACAGCTTGCCCTTCAAGAACTGAGGGCAATGGTGTCCTTTTCAGAAATAAAACTTTGTTTAGTCATTGCCCACTTATTCTTTAGTCTTGTGTCAGTAAAGGTGATGGATGTGCCTGTGTGGAAACAGCTTGCCACATGTGATTCTTAGTTGTAGTTAGAATGCCTTTTCCATACCCTGCTCGTTGCTTTTACTCTTTGGTGCCTGCAAGCTCACTTGATGAAATTGATGCCATCGGCAGTACTCTGCATGCTTGTCATCCAGTGGTGATCTGTGGTTCCTGGGACTAAAATTTTAGGAATTACTTCCTTCTCTTTAAATTCAGATTTCCTTAACTTCTGCTTTAAATATCCATGAGTAACTATTCCTTATGTCACTGATAAGTAATTGCCCTTTCAATAGCAGTAGAGGTTATGCAATATCTGATCATTGAGTTCTCTGTTCAAAACTGGGTTGCACAAGACCATCAGCAACCTGTTCTACATTGGCTGTACTTAAAGCAAGAGATTGGGCTGGATGACCTCCAGAGCCCCCTTCCAATATTAGTTATTTTGTGATTCTTTAATGCTTTTGGCAATGTGATAATGATTGTTTCTACAAAATTATATTGGTTCTTGCGTTTGGTTTTGGACTCATGGGTGGTTTATCTTGTAGAGCTTCAAACTGCCTCTTCAAAGTGTTGTAGCTAACATAGCTGGGACAATTCTCCATTTAAAGTCTGGAATATTTGTCCTGGTTACTTTATTTCCTGGATAAGATAGGTCTTCATTTTTCCTTCTCTTTCTGGAATAGTTCATTGGCTTAATAGCTTTGAGAGGAATTCCTTCTGCCTCCTAGCATTCCTTATACCCAAACACTAACTTGGTCAGAATATAGAAAAACGAATTGCCTTGCCTTGCATTGGAAGGCTTATACTTTCTCTCTTAGTTGCTACACAAATCTTTTCTGCTTTAGGCCTGTTGAAGTTGTATGCTCATCAGGTTGCATTCTTTTAAGTTGTGTGCTAATAAATAAATCACTTGCCAGCTGCAAGCTGTGCTCAACTCCTTTAATCCTGTTAAAGAATTTCTTCTAACATTTCACTGTATTAAGAATGATCAAAATGTTTTGATACTCATGTTTCAGTGATTGCTCTTATTTATTTTTTTTCCTGTTCAGGTTGCTATTAAACAGATAAACCTGCAGAAACAGCCCAAGAAGGAGTTGATTATTAATGAGATCTTGGTAATGAAGGAACTAAAGAACCCCAACATAGTCAACTTCCTGGACAGGTAAATGCAGACAGCTGGCTGATTCCTTTATCCCTCAGGGTTTCAAGAGGTTATAACTTGATATACTTACACAGACCCAGACTTTTTGTACCTAACAGTCTTATAAGAGAATGAGACTGTATTCATTGTCATCTAAGAAAAAAGGGGGAGGAGGGAGTAATCTGTTATAAGGAATGGTCTTGATTCAATAAGAAAGCTTCTTCTGTCGTGAATGCAGTGCTGTATGTGCTTGGGGATCAGTGGTAGACAAGAGCATAGCTGGAGCAATGCTTCTGTTGTGCATGATTGTGCATGAGACACGTAGGGTGTTATCCTGCCTGTTTAGGTAGTAAGAAGCAGGCAGCTTTTATTGTCAGCATTTAGATTTTGGGCTGCCTTCTAGAGATTAACTTTCTTTTCTGTTTGTCGTTGAGTGCTTATGAATCACTTCATTGACTGGCTCTTATCAGTCATTTTTCAGTTCTCAATCTCTTGATGGCAAACGGGTGTGCTTTTTATTTTCTGTTTGTAGTTACCTCGTAGGAGATGAATTGTTTGTGGTGATGGAGTATCTGGCTGGAGGCTCACTAACAGATGTGGTCACAGAAACATGTATGGATGAAGCACAGATAGCTGCTGTTTGCAGAGAGGTAAGTATTATAGCTGATGGATAGAGGAACGAAGGTGCACTCTATTCCTCTAGGTTTTATAGTACAGTTAGGTTAGGACGAATGGCAGCAATTGCTGGTGGAGCCATTGAGTTTGAATGATACTGAGAGCAGAAATCAATATTAAAATTACAGAAAATAGCAAAATCAGTTTAACTCAGAAAATTGGGAGTTTTGAGCTGTAACACAAAAGAGCTATGGCAGATTTTGAGCTAGGTTTTGGGGAATGTTAGGTGATGGAGCAAATAAAGAATTTAGGTTTGGTACCTGGGTTACCTTGTCCTGACAATGTTAACAGAAGTTCAAGGAAGAGCAACAGAGAAGTTTAGCAGCTGGAAGCAATGTCTTTTTTTAGCTTTGACTAATGAAGAACATTCAAAAGCACCAAAAAGAAAACTTGAGTGTTCATATCTAGGTACTGTAGAAAGTAGAGGTGTGAACATGTTTAAAAAAAAAAAAAGAAAAAAGCATGAAAGCTTCGAAGTGTTTTTCAGAAGGAAGAAGGGTAACTGTGTTTCCTTAGAATGTGAAAGTGGATCTGACGAAACAGGTATACTTTAAGAAACATGCAGTAAAATAAAGATGAACTTGATGCAAATTTTCCCTCTCATTTTAGTAGTTTTCATAGTTTGTGAAATCTATAGTCCTATGATATGATTTCTCAGAAAAAGAACTCTCCAGAAGATTGTAGGTGAAAGAATTTTCAGATTGCAAGAAGATTTCAAGTGGAAGAGTTAAAAATTGCTGATATCACAAAAAATTGCTGATACCACGACTTATCAGTGGTTTCTGCCCTGAGTCAGAGTGCTGGCATCCAGATCAGGCTTAGTTTTTTACGGTAGAAGTAGTTGTATTTTCTGCTGTGCAGGAGAAACTTAGGCTTTTAAAACCCCCATTTGAATACATCACCGTGACATCTGCTTTTGATGACTCACCCAAAGGGAGGGGATGGAAAGCAAACTTGTACATTAACATGTATGGACAGGTAATGATTTCAAGGGAAACAGGAGCTGGAAGCAGAGAACTGAAAGTAACTATTTACTGTAACAGTAATTCACTTTTCTGAGGAAAAAAGCTAGTGATTGTACTTCATCAAAACTCTGCTGCTGAGCATGTTAGATATGCTTCATTCTGTAAATCAGTGCCACTTTGCTAAAGCAGATGAAGACACAAAAAACCTGACTGGGCACTGCATCCATGTCAAGTTGCAAATGGTAAATGTTCTGCTTATATTAAAGAGAAAAATATTACAGTTATATTTTTTCTTATTCTCAAATATCAAAAGTAAATTCCATTATGTTTTTAGGCAGAAACTTAGTGTGAAAGGCTTTAATCTAAAACCAATGCAAACCCAATATTAGTGACTTGAATAATGAACATGTTTTACAGCCTTTACTGTAGGAGAAGTTGAATGCATGTTGAGAAGGAAGTCTCACCAATTCCTCCTGGTGAGACTTCAGGCTAAAAAGCTCTCACTTAATCCTTTATGGTTCCTCTGTAGAATTCATGGGATGTACCAAAATTAACATCTGGGATTTCTGAGACTCTCTAGGGTTGTGATGAGTTTAATTTACAGGTTCCTGTTAAGATATCGGAGAAACTCCATGGTTAAATGATTTTTGACTTCATGAGGCCTGGAGGGTATTTTTTAGCACAAGAGCTTCCTCTGCTGGTTATTTAAAATAATACCTGTTGTGTTTTTATACTCTGCACTGGCTGAAGTTGTAAGCATTGCTTTTGAATTCGTGTTCACGTACACAAATTGTGTTTCTATGTGCTGAGTATCTTTGTTTTGTTTTGTTTTGTTTCATTTTCCTTTTTTTTTTTCTTTTTTCACCCATTCAGTGCTTGCAAGCGCTTGAGTTCTTACATGCCAACCAGGTCATCCACAGAGACATTAAGAGTGACAACGTGCTGTTAGGAATGGATGGATCTGTTAAACTAAGTGAGTACCAGAAAATTGAAACAGCCATCTGTTTTCCCTTTCCTGGTAAACTTGGACTCATAAATTGGTAGGCAAGTTGGCAGGGAAATCTGAGGTGTATTTTTATTGACTATGAGCAATAGAAATTCATTCAGTGCTATGAAACGTGTAACTCCCAAACAGCAGGTATTGAAATTCTGAGGGCCCTAACAGAAAGGCTTTGAACATGTTTGACCAGAAGGATGTTGAAGCAAACGTGTTGCCACATGAATATGTTGGTAAATGTGAAGTAACTGGCACTGTACAGTGAAGCAAAGATGTGAATGATTGCAAGAGAAAAGTTCCAGCCAACTTTTGTTAGTCTCTTCAGGTTGTCATGACTTGCATTCAATGTTTTGCCCTTTTCATTAGAAGGTCACTAACAAGAAAATTGTACGTTATTAACCATTTATATTGCAGTCTAGTCTTATGCTGTGCCTGTTCTGGGTCTCCTTTTCTTGGACTGAAAGTGTAACACACTTTCTTTAATATAATCATGAAATGACAAAAGAAACTACTTGCTTTTCAGGTAATTGTTATGCATGCATGGACTTGTGTACAGTAAGTCAATTTCTGGTGTGCGTAAATGTGTGTGGTAATAAAAAAAAATGTGAAATCGCTTGAAGAAGCTGTCAGGACTGTTGAGAGAGAGGTACATTATCTTATTTCTTGGTACGTAGGAATGCGCAAAGCATGAATTGACCAAAGAGTTAAGGGATGGTGTTCCTACAGTAGGGTAGGAATTTGAAATGCCATGAAAATGTATCCCAGCAATATTCCTTAGTCTAGCTGGTTTGCAGGCTCATATTGTTTATGAGATGGAGCGTGAAGAAAGATTAGGAGCAACCTTATCCTCTTACCAGCATTGTTGGATGCACTACTCACTTGCATAGGAGGTTTTACGTTTTTCAAAGCGTGTGGTGTGCTTGTGCGCAAACTGCGTGGACTCAGAAGCTCAAGTGAATAGTTACAGTAGAGGATGTGGCTGAGAAGAGTTAGCTGGAGAAGGCTCAAAAATGTGAGAGCTATCAAGTCAAAACGGGAGTGGAAAAAGGACAAGGTTAGCAGCCTATGTAAAGAAGCATCAGCCCCAGGAGGCTGGGGACGATGAGGAGGAAGGAGAGACAGGGAAAAATGGGAGTCAGCTGTAAAAATGTTCTGTATGAAGGGGAGGTACTGTAATCAGTGTTGAGACTAGCTCTTCTTTGGCTGTGTGATTGTAGAGCTTTTAGCAGTTGTTTAGGGTGGAGGGTGGAAGAAGTTGCACCTTCTTTTCAAGCTCTTTCCATTCTTTGGGAGAGCCTGGCTTCTGGGAGACTAGGAAAAGTAAGAGATACCAGACTGCCAGTCGCTACTGCATACCTACACACACTGCTGGTTGGTGAAACTAGGTTCTACATCTTGCCTGTCTTTCTCTCTTTGCTGGTGGCATGGTGCTGAAGGCCTTGGTAGGTCAGGAGATGTGCACTGCTGCTGCTTCTCTGGTGTGTTCATTGAAATAAGCTGTGCTTTATGTTGAATATGACACCTTGAGAAAGGCCAAGACGTGCTGGCAAGGAACTCAGTGACTCCTATCGGTTTGATTTTAATTTTTTTTTTTCTGTTTGGTTTTATTTAAGGCAGCATTTTGACAACCAGGGTGGGGGTAGTTCTTTGTTAAATTGTCGTCTTGGTACAACTTAGCACTCTCTTGACTGTGCCTCTTTTATTAGCACTGCTTGGCATAACACTTTCAAAATCTTAAAATCTCTCTCTCTCTTTTTCTCTCTCTCTCAAACTTAGTGTCAATGATAAGGTAATATCTGTCTCCTGCCTTAACTGTGTTCTTATTGATGCTTTACATGCCTGGGAAGTGGGAGTGCTGCAGCTGGATAAAGTAACATGATGGAACATGCATTGCTGCTGCACCTGAAGGCTATAGGAATAGGTGACTTTTCTTGTTTTCTTGAGTGTGGTTGTTCTCTTCAGTAGTTAACCCTGTGAAAAGGTTTGTTTGTCCAGGTTCCTTCTGCTGAGTGGGCTAGCACTTCACTTATCTGAAGCCTTGTTTCCATGTCTCTGTCAGCTGTAGTACCTGTATTTGGTGGCCTTTTGTGTGAAACATTGAACTCAATAGCTGCACAAATAGAATCTGTTTAGGAGGGCAGAAGCCATGGTTTGTGGATTTGTTTTTTTTCTAGTTCAGGCTGTACAGCATACCATGTGCAGAACCCTTGCCTTCTGTGTTCTGCTTGATTACTTTTTCTGGCTGTTGCTAATCTAGGATCCTTGAAGGAAGGACTGGGCAAAATATGTTCTTCTGCAGGGTAATACTTGTGTGCTTGCTTCAGAGAACAAAAAGCTTTATCTTCATTCCATGGAATTCTACCCTACTTAAACACCTTCAGGTTTTGTATCTATCTTGTATGATTGATTTTGTAATATGGAGAATGTAGTGGGGAGACACCCCCCAAACCCTGCTCAAGTGTAGAGGAGTAAAATGTATGTGTAGTATTAGAGAAGTCTTCTAGGAAGGATACTTATTTGGGGTGCACCAATTTAACTTTTATAATTCTGTTATCTTACAGCCGACTTCGGTTTCTGTGCTCAGATCACCCCAGAGCAGAGCAAGCGGAGCACTATGGTTGGAACTCCTTACTGGATGGCTCCTGAAGTGGTGACACGGAAAGCATACGGCCCTAAAGTGGACATCTGGTCTCTGGGCATCATGGCTATTGAGATGGTAGAAGGAGAACCCCCGTACCTCAATGAAAACCCCTTGAGGGTAAGAAGCCTGTATGTTCCTGTAACTGTTTGCAGGTGTTTAGCATACAAATGGTTTCAGTAATTGTTCATTACAACATTACTACATTAAAAGGAAAATGAATTGAATAAAACAACAAGCTTAAGCAGGGCAAGAAAATTCCTCCAAAAGGAAGATGGCTGTCTTGAATTTGCAGTCAGCCCTACCCTGAATTTGTCTGTTTAGAAGATGAGTACTTGCTTGTAACTAAAACACTGGACTTTGAACTCAGTCTTCTGTGATAGTTTAGGGAAAGTAAATCCATTAGGTTATGAAAAATGCTGCTTGTGTCAGAATCTGATGTTTTCTTTGCAAAGGTAAGTGTCTGTTGCCAAAAGATTTGGATCATTATTTTGCTACTAGGAAGAACAGGTGATGACTTGGTGTCTTGTAAAGATTCGGCTTGGTTTTACTATTTTCCTCGTTTTACAGGCTTTATATTTGATAGCAACGAATGGCACACCAGAGCTTCAGAATCCTGAGAAACTGTCGCCAATATTCCGGGATTTCTTGAACCGATGTTTGGAGATGGATGTCGAGAGAAGAGGATCAGCCAAAGAACTGCTACAGGTAAGAGTCAGTTTCTTCTCACAGTCTGAGAAACAGAAGCTATGAGTAAGGTCAGCCTGTGAGAAACCACGTTTAGACTGGTGCCCTTTCTTTCTGTGTCTTCCTCTGAGGACTCTAATGGATAGCAGTTGGTAGGAACTACAGTCGTAAAAGATTGTACTGTGTACTCTGAAGTGTTTCCATCAGTAACGTGTGCCTTCATTCTGCCACTACTAAAGCATCCAGCAACGTACAAACTTACTGTAATAAAGCCATTGAAGTGAGCAAAATGGGACTGAGAGAAGATGTTTTGAGCAGGAAACCTCTTTGTAGTGAATTACTGATAAAGGAAAGGCCTAGGCTCTTTTGGGAATCATAATATCATAGAATGGTTTGGGTTGGAAGGGACGTTAAAGCTCATCTAGTTCTGCCTCCTTGCCATGGGCAGGGACACCTTCCACTAGAACAGGTTGTATCCAACCTGGCCTTGAACACTGCCAGGGATGGGGCAGACACAGCTTCTCTGGGCACCCTGTGCCAGCGTCTCAGCACCCTCACAGGGAAGAATTTTTTCATAATACCTAATCTAAATCTCCCCTCTATCAGTTTAAAGCCATTCCCCCTTGTCCCGTCACTATCTGCCCTTGTAAAAAAACCCCTCTCCAGGCTCGAGGAGCGCTGGATTTGTCCCTTCAGGAGCTGGGCATTGGCAGCATTTGTGTTGCTTTTCATATCTCGGAATGAAAAGGGCTGTGTAGGTACATAGCTTTTACTGGCATTTTAAACCATGTCTTTCAGTAGTTCACTGTGTTTCTCTCTTTCTGGCAGCATCCCTTCTTGAAACTGGCCAAACCTCTGTCTAGCTTGACGCCACTGATCTTGGCAGCCAAAGAAGCAATGAAGAGTAACCGCTAACATTACTGCCACAGCCTTCATCCTTTTTTCGTTTGTATTTTACAAATCTTTATAATATATGAAATTTTTACATTTCTGGGGGAGGGAGGGGATTGGAGGGGGGGACATGGGACAACACACATCAGCGAAAGGGAAGAAACTCTCATCCAGAAGACACCCAAAATTATGGTGACTCTAGCGGTCCCTGTCTGGGATCCAGAAGGAATTGAGGACTGAATTACTGGCCTTATTTTTTTTTTCCTATTTCCCCACCCCCCCCCCTCATTCTTTTCACCTCGGACAACTTAGAAATGCCACTTACTGTGCCCAGGGTTTTAAGGGTTTTTAACGACTTCGCTGTAACAGCTCCCATTCATTGTACCCCATTGTCTGGGTACTTTCAATACTTGAATGACAGATTCAAGCTTTCAGAGAGCAGTAGTAATTATACCTGCTGATCTCTTCCACACTTCTCTTCCTCCCCTCTACCTGTTTATTTTTGAATCACTCTAGTAAGCTCCCACATGACGAGATGCACAGTGAGTGTGACAAATGTGAATATGCATCTCGTTTGTCATTTCATTTATGGATTAGTTGTCGGAGTACTGTAGGATTGATAATTTGGCTACTTAAGAAATGATAATGTATTGAAACATTTTTCACTTCTAAGGTGAATATGGAGAGAGGAGGAAGAGAAGTATTCGGTTGTTTATGTGCCTGTGCTCTGTGGACTTTTAATCAAAGATGTGGCCTCTTTGTAGAAACTTAATGATTGGTCAAGTCTTTGAATGTTGGTTTATGGAGTAGGTAGGGGTCAGATACTTTATTTATGATCAAATGATCAGCTATAGTCAGGGCAAGAAAAAATATTCCAGCTGTCTTCCTGTCTGCTCTTTTTTTCCCATTAGAATTGTTGGCCGGAAGCTTAAGGGATAATGTGCTTAGTGCGGTGGGTGGTTCAAAAATGCGTTGTATCTGTGCTCTGACTTGGGCTTTGGAAGTTATGCTGGTGCCTTTGACTTTTTTATTTTACATTTCTTTGTATCAAATACATTTTTGTATATGTTGTATTTTCCCCCCCCCAAGCAAATAATGCATCAACCTATGGAGTTGTCAGAGTTTAAGTATTAGAGCTATTTTTCCCAGTTTTTTATGTGCTCCATTTGTACTAATGAAATCAGAAGAACGTGTAATCAGATCTGAGGACACTGAAGATACAGGATTTTTAAATAGGATTCAAATGGAAGATTGTGAACACCTGGAATTGCCAAAGTGCTGTTCTGAGAAGACGAAAGCTGTGGGGGGAGAACAGTGCCGTCAGATGTTCATGGGGCTATTTGACCAACTAGTTCAAGGCTGAGGAGATGTGATGTGTCACACTGACCCTTTCTCACTAAAGACATTATGCTGGCTAGAATGGCTGAAGTCAAACATTCAATGCAAGAAAAAGTGCCTCCCTCTGAAGGACAGTGAGTGACTTGAGCAGTTGAGTTCTTGGGGTGTTACCAGGGACAAGTGTAGAAGAGCCTGTGCCTGTGGCTGCTTCTAGCGCTACATGCTTCTATGCATTTCAACTTCTCTGACAGTTTAACGAAGAGCTAACTGTAGTAACAAAGTGCCAAATGATTCTGTGAAAGAAAAAACATTACTTTAGTGGGGTTTTATTGCATTCCCAGTGGGGCAGGACCTGGGACAGATAGGGTTACAGCTGGGTATGGATGGAGGACCCTGAATAAAAATTATTTGCACACTTTTATAAATGTTGCTGGCAGAAGATAGAGGTCAGTTCAGATAATTTCAGTATTTGTATAGCGATAGAGATAACTACATTTTTGGAACTGGTAGCCAAGGTATGACAGAACCACCTTCCAGCTGAGAGCAGTTGGAGGCTGTTTGTGTCGATGATGGAGGGGAAGCAGGGCATTGGTGTGGTACCAACAAGATGCCTTATTGTGCAGGGCACTGCAGTATCACAGTTCAGCTTGCATTCTGCTCTTGCATGGTAGTAAACTTTTATGTTGGTTAAGTTACATTAACTGTTCCATCACAGGAATGAATCCCTCTAGCTATAAGCCTAAGAATAGTTCTGGTTTTAAACTCAAGTGTCTTATTCCAGGCAAGGAAATCTAGATGCATTTCCCAGGCAAAATGTATTGTGAGCCATAGACACTGTCAACACTGTAATGGCAATGCCCCTGGTTTGAGTGCTTCTGGCTCCCCGATCAAATGAAGTACTGAGAAGGCTTGGCTGAGAAGAAGAAACCCTGTCATACCAATGATTCCCTTTTTGTCCATTGCTGGCAATGGACTTTGTGAAATTCTTTGTGCCAGAGTTAAACTGGGAACTTTTCTTTCTTCTTTTTTTTTTTCCTTTTGATGGCACAATCTAGACAGTAAAATAACTTGTGGTAAATTTAGGGTTTATTGGTTTTTTTTGAGTAGAAAACCAAGAAATCGTAAGTAATTATCTTATTAGTTCACTTCTATTGATGAATGAGAATGGTTTAAAATATGTTACAAAATTTGTCCTATTTAGTCTACTTAGGAGATGATTTCCAAACTTTCAGCCGTCTTAGCACCCAAAACTTGGCCCAGTCCAGCACTTACCAGAACATATCTTGGCACTTGCTGTGTGACCTGCAGAGGTGTTAAGCTTTGAGGTTGAGAAGTGTCCCCATCTCCCCTTCCGACGCAGCAGCTTTATCATTATGTGGTTTCTCACCTCCGTGCTGCCAGAAATCAGGGTCAGAGATGGAGCTGACAGGAGAGGAGAACCACAAGAAGGTTGCCATGCTGTGCTTTTGTGTCTTGGTGGGTTGGGCATTGCTTTTCTAAGGATGTCAGCTGGATGTGTCTGCAAGATTGGAAAAATGCAAACTCTGTGGGGTTTTTGCCCTGATGGGAGCAGATTAAAGTCCTTAAGACTTTCTGCAGGGCTGTTCAACTCTGCTGTATCACGAGGGCAAGTGGATAGAGACCAGATAGAGTTTGAGTAGATGATGGTAAGGGAAGGATTGCATCTGAATGCAATCTGGGATTCCCCGTACGTCTCACTCTCTCGGGTGCCCACATAAGATCCTGAGTCAGGATCAGATATGCATGTGATATGTATGAAGTGTAATATACAGTGGAGTAGCTAGTTGGATATATGGAGCTGGGCAGCTAATGGCTGAGATGCATGTATGCAGGCAGTGTGTGACTCCTGAGGTTTTCTTGTTACCACAGAATAAACTGTACTTCTTCTTAAAGGCAGCCGTGGCGCTGGGAATGTGCACTTTGACCTGCCTTAGGTGTTAATGAGACTAACTGCAGGCTTTCCCCTGGCTCTCCAGTGCAGGGAAGTGCAAAGGGGTGGTTAGAGCAGATGGGGTAGCCTGGATCCCTCTATCAGAGGGGATAGTGGGTGGGCTGAGAAGGGAGCAAGAAGGTTGTTAATGGTCTCTACAGCTAGAGTTGAATAAAGAAATGTCTCTGGTCTGTTTTTCCCTCTGTTCTTCATGCTGTCAATGGAAATGGAAGTAGGTGCAAGCTTTCTTTTTATTTTTTTAACTGTCTTCAGATTTTAATGTTGCCTTTTATGTAATTTAATCCCATTATGTTATTTAATTGTTACTGCAATATTAACTACTGTATTTGTTGACTTTGTTTAATAACTGTTCTTTCAGGGCTAGAAATAAACTTTTGAAAAACATTTGGGTCTTCCCCCTCATGAGTTTATACCTTTTAAGACAAGAGAGCTGAAAGAGTACATGTTTAGATGTCTTAATGAGATTAACAGAATGTATTTGTAATTAAACTTCTTACGATGCTTTAATGATGATGGGTATAATTTTATGCTATACTAGTCTGCCCTGTTTCTTTTAAAAAAAACTTTATTACTCATCAGAGTCTGTACCAACCTTGGGATAACTGCAAGCCCTCCTTGCTGCCATGCACTGCCTGCAGAATGTTGTGCCTCCCATAAAGTGTTCCAAGTTGCTGGCAGAAGGAGAGCAGCTCTGAAACACTCTTTTCACCCACCCTGGAAAGAGATCCTTTGCTCTCCTTGTGAAGGGAGCAAAGCAAAAGCCAGCCTAGCTTGTCACAGTTGCATCTCCACCATCCGTTTGCCATAAGGTAGCCTTTTGGTAGTGGCTGGGGTGGGACTGATGGGCCAGTAAAGCACAATTGTGGCAATATAGTGATGGGGAATTAATCCGAACAAGGCTGCTCTATTGCACCATGAACATCATCCAGTATCCTGCATATAAACGTTATGGCACAGGAAATGTGGGGAATGAGCTGTCCTGGTGCCTGCTTGGAAGACGTGGCTCCTGGGTCTGCACTGTCGCTGCTGATCAGAGTTTGAGCAACAGAGCCAAATGGGGCGAGGACACTGGGTGTCAACAGCTCACCTAGGACTTGGATTGAGAGCGATGGTGCCTCTTTAGGCTGTGGAGAGTTGCTCCTGTTTTCCATTGAAATGACAAAAACGCGGTGTGTTGGCATGGCAGTCTTAACTAAAGAAAAGGACATCTAAATGCATTTACTTTGGGGTTGAGACTGGTTGAGTTGAAATCCAGATGAAGTTTCAGTCTTCAGTTGTGAATGTCAAGGACTCATCACGTTGTGTTTCCTGTGTGTTATTGGGAAATTATCTCTTCCCCTTTCTTGCATGTTGTATAAGCTTTGCTCATACCACTGACAAAGGAAAATGAAGAAACCACTCATCTTCAGAAGCCTTTCCAACCAGACATGAGAATGTTGTTTTGCACAAAGCACTGTCTCTTCAGGTTAAATAATTTGTTGTAGTATTTTTGTCTTTATATATAATTGACCCTTTATGCATTTAAACTGATGTTCTCTAACACTGCAGTTAAGTGATTTTTACATTTAATTTATGGGGGGAAATGTTGACAAGAGGAAGGAGAAGGTGCCTAAGTGGAACTCACTAATTATCTGCATATTGGCTCTTGTGCTGCTTGAAGGAGAGCAGGGTTTTGGCTGAATGTGATTTGCACAAGTTCAAAGTTGCTAGTCCTTGCTTGATAAATCCTGT